AGGGGAGGAGTAGCGCGCAACTACAGCGTCGTACAAGGTCTGAGCACTCTTGTACTGACTAAAGTGCGCACGCTCAGAGGTAGGGAGGTGGCGACGCACAGCAAGACGTGCAGCAGCATCGCGGGTGGCCCACTTAGAGCGGACAGCGGGTTCAGCATCAGCAGCAGGAGCAGGAGAGGCGCCAGAGGTGAGGTCAAAGAGAGAAAGGTCGTCAGCCCTGTCGCACTGTAAGAACAGCTGCAGGTCATCTAACTAGACCTCAAAATCAATGGCGCGACCCTCAGCGTCAAAAGCTAGGACACTAGGGGTAGCCATGGTGACGACAGTGACGCAGTGCAAGCGGTAGGGAAAGAGCTCGCAGTGTCAGTGGGACTGTGCTCACCAGGCAGGGCAGGTCGTGCAGGCAGCAGAAAGGCGGCTCAGTGACCGGGCGGCTCGGGTGCACAGCTGCTCGGCTCCCGGGCGGCTCGGCGGTTGGGCGGCTCGGGCGCAGGGCGGCTCGGCTGCTGGGCGGCTCGGGTGCAGGGCGGCTCGGCTCCCGGGCGGCTCGGCGGCAGGGCGGCTCGGGTCCCGGGCGGCTCGGCTGCTGGGGCGGCTCGGGCCGGCAAGTGCAGCGTCGGGCCGGCAGGTGCAGCGTCGGGCCGGCAGGTGCAGCGGCGGGCCGGCAGGTGCAAGTGGCGGGCCGTAGGGTGCAGCGGCTGGCCGGCAGGTGCAGCGGCGGGCCGGCAGGAGCAGCTGCGGGCCGGCAGGGTGCAGCGGCGGGCCGTAGAGTGCAGTGGCGGGCCGGCAGGAGCAGCGGCGGGCCGGCAGGGTGCAGCGGCGGGCCGTAGAGTGCAGCGGCGGGGCCGTCGGCAGTAGAGGCGGGGCCGCGTCAGGGAAGGCGGCGGGGCCGCGTCAAGGGAGGCGGCGGGGCTGCGTCAGGAGAGGCGGCGGAACCGCGTCAAGGGAGGCGGCAGGGCCGCGTCAGGGGAGGCGGCGGGGCCGCGTCAGGGGAGGCGGCGAGGCCGCGTCAAGGGAGGCGGCGGGGCCGCGTCAAGGGAGGCGGCGGGGCCGCGTTAAGAGAGGCGGCGGGGCCGCGTCAAGGGAGGCGGCTGGGCCGCGTCAGGGGAGGCGGCAAAGCCGCGTCAGGGGAGGCGGCGGGCCGCGAGTGAAAAGGCGACCCGAGGGGTCGCTAAAAAAAAATGGGCGCGCCTCGGGGCGCGCGTTGGTGGGCCCAGAAAACGGTCCTAAGGCAGGACCCGCTCTATACCATGTGAAATAAGAAAACAGGAATGAATGACTATGAAAATGAAATCAGTACAAGTAGCAAACCCTAACTGGGTTGTACCCCCTATAGGATACCCCACTACAGCCTACACAACAGTATGAACTGTATATATGTTCTGACAGCCTCACCAGTACCTGAGAGCGCAGACGCACTGGCACCTAGAGCAGCAGCCTCACAAGCACCTAGCGCAGCAGTACCAATGCCCGGGTTGGGCGGGAAACACCGGTTACAGTCACCCTCATCACTAATAGTCACAGCATACATGGCAGCAAGGATAGCATCAAAGTCAAGATCAAAGATAGCTACGCCAGCCCTAGACAGCTCTCCCCAGCGGGGAATCTCACTAGCCTCGGGGAACTGCTGACGCCAAGCGTCCGTCAGGCGGCCAAAGCAGCGCTGGGTGGGGTGGGCACCCCCACACTGCTCACCCGCGCGGTCGCCGGAACGAAGGACGTAGGTGCACGGACCAAAACCCCCACCACGCTGACGCTGCGCGTACCACTCACGGAGCTGCTGAGGCGGGGGGATGTCCTGAGAACGCTGCTGCTGCTGCTGCTGGCGCTGACCACCACCAGAGCCGCTCCGCTGCGGGGCACCACCTCGACCATCTCCACCCCCTCCGCCACTGCCGCCTCCACCTCCGCCACCATCGCCGCCTCCGCTCCCACCGCTGCTGCCGCCACCGCCTCCGCCTCCGCTGCCTCCACCACCACCACCACCCCCGCCACCACTCCCACCGCCACCCCCACTCCCTCTGCCGCCTCCACCGCCACCTCCACCGCCCCCGCCAGCTCCACCCGCGCCCTTGTCCCCCTTGCCCTTGCCAGGTCGGCGTCTCCCGCTAGGGGCAGACGCCGCGCCGACCGACTCAAGACCAAGCAGGTCGGCAGCAGCAGAAGAGGCAACAGAGGGCAGCAGGGGGGAAGGAGAACACCCCTCAAAGATGGGGGTGCGAGGGTCACCCCGAGAGGCTCCTACAGCGACGATGCTCTTCTCCGTCACCAGGAGGGCCTTCTCGAGGAGGTCAACAGTGAGAGTGGTGGGACAGACTGAGAGAAAGTGGTCCCTGACTACGCAAAGGGAGTCAGGGAGGCGTGTGACTATGTAATAGAGAGTGATGTACATGGGGGGGGGGGTTCTTGGCGCAGAACTCAGCAGGAAGTGCGGCGCGGTAGCGAGTGTCACTAGTGCGGAGGTGCGTAATGAGGTCGGCGACTGTGGGAAAGGCAGCAAGGTCAGGAAAGAGGTACGGTAGCATGAGGCAGCTCAGTGCAGCAGTGGCAGGAGAAGAGTAGCGCGCAACTATAGCGTCGTACAAGGTCTGAGCTCTCTTGTACTGACTAAAGTGCGCGCGCTCAGTGGTAGGCAGGTGGCGACGCACAGCAAGACGTGCAGCAGCATCGCGGGTTGCCTACTGAGAGCGAACAGTGGGGTCAGCGTCAGTAGCAAGGGCAGGAGAGGCGCCAGAGGTGAGGTCAAAGAGAGAAAGACCGTCCGCCCTATCGCACTGTAAAAACAGCTGCAGGTCGTTGACCCAGACCTCAAAGTCAATGGCTCGACCCTCAGCGTCAAAAGTGAGGACACTAGGGGTAGCCATGACGACGATAGACTAGCAGTGCAAGCAGTAGGGGAAGGGCACGCAGTGACAGTGGGGCTGCGCTCACCGGACAGGGCAGGTCGGGTGGCTCGGTAGTAGGGCGGCTCGGCTGCTGGGCGGCTCGGCGGCTGGGCGGCTGGGCGGCTCGGCGCTCGGCTGCTGGGCGGCTCGGCTGCTGGGCAGCCCGGCTGAACGGCGGCTCGGCTGGTGGGCAACCGGGCGGCTCTGCAGTTGGGCGGCCCGGCTCCTCCGGTACTCGGCGGTGCGGCGGTCGGCTGCTCAGGTGCACGCTGCAGGTGGTGCTACGGTCGGCGACTTGGGTGGCGGTCAGGAGAGGAGAGTGGCAGGGCCGCAGCAGACGGGCGGCGGGGCCCCAGGTGCAGGGCGGCGAGGCCGCAGCAGAAGGGCGGCGGGGCCGGTAGAGTCGGGCGGCGGGGCCGCGAAGTGGGGGGGGGGCGGGGCCGGTAGAGTCGGGCGGCGGGGCCGCTAAAGCAGGGCGGCGGGGCCGCGAGGTGTAGGGCGGCGGGGCCGCTAAAGCAGGGCGGCGGGGTTGCGAGGTGTAGGGCGACGGGGCCGCGAGGTGTAGGGCGGCGGGGCCGCTAAAGCAGGGCGGCGGGGCCGCGAGGTGTAGGGCGGCGGGGCCGCCAAAGCAGGGCGGCGAGGCCCCGAATCAGGGGCGGTGGGGCCGCGACAGTAGGGCGGCAGGGCCGCTAAAGCAGGGCGGCGGGGCCGGTAAGGCAGGGCGGCGAGGCCGCGAACCAGGGGCGGCGGGGCCGCGACAGTAGGGCGGCAGGGCCGCTAGGGGAGGGAAGGCCGCTAGGGCGGCTCGTCGAGTTAACAGCCCGAGGCGCGACTCGGGATGAGCGCGCTTCGGGCAGTAAAAAATATCGAAGTGGTGGGCCCTAAGCGCAGTTCCCACAGGGGAACCTGCTCGATACCATGAGAGAAGTTGAACGAGGATGAATGAACTATGAATGAACTGAGTACAAGTACTAACCCTAATTGGGTTGTATCCCTTATAGGCTACCCCACTATAGCCTACACAATAAGCACAAGCTATATGTTCTGACAAGTCCCTCACGCCCCAGCAGCTTCGTGAGTGGTATGCTACTTGGGGTTGTCAAGGTGGCTGTAGTGGGAGTCGTCCTAGAGTGAGTAGTTCGGCAGCTGCTTGTAGTGGCCAGGTGCAGCTGCAGCGCCGTCGGTGCGCGGTCCTTTTGCCCCAGCAGCTTCGTGAGTGGTACGCTCAGCGTGGCGGGTCACGGGGTACTGCTCGCTGTGCGTACGTCATTCGCACTGGTGCTCAGACTGGTCTGCCTTGTGGGGCGTTTGGTCACGCAGAGTCCCGCTGCTTCGCCCGTCTGAGCGACGCATGGCGTACGGAGTTTGGCGACACGGCTGAGCTCCCCGACTGGGTGGAGCTGCTTAGGCTGCGGGTAGATATCTATACTCTTGACTATGATGCTATCCTCACTGCCATGTATGCATTGCCTACTAGTGATGAGGGTGACTGTTACCTGTGTGTTCCGTCTGACCCGGGCATTGAGGCTGCTGCTCTAGGTGCTGGTGAGGCTGCTGCTCTAGGTGCTAGTGCGTCTGCTGCCCCAGGTGCTGGTGAGTCTGCTCTCTCAGGTACCAGGTCGGCTCAGCACATTGCTCTTCGCTACTTCCTTGCTCGTGAGCTGCAGCAGCGTGGTCAGCTCCGCCTTGCGTACGTGGCCTCTGAGGCCAACACTGCTGATATCTTGACCAAGGCACTTCCACCTTGTGATCATCAGCGCTTCTGTACGATGCTAGGTCTTGTGCCTACTTGGCCTTGCTTGCTCAATTCTTGACCTTGCTTGTACTGTGATCTTTCTATACCTGCACTTGCTTGTTTACCTTTATATGATCTTGCATGTGAACTGGCCTTGTGGCCTTGAGCTTGTGCTCGGACTGTGTGGTGACGTTGTGATCCACCCTGAGCTTGCTTTGCTTTGCTTGAATGGTCTTGTGACCTCTTGTTCTCCCCCACTTTGCCTATGGGGGTGTGTCAAACTCATATGCTATAGTCTGTGTAGGCTGTAGTGGGGTAGACAATATGGGGTACATTACTTCTAGGTTTTCCTACTTGTACCCACCTGCTTGCTAGTTCATTCATTCCTCATTCTTCACAGTCTGCTGGGTGGGCGGATCCAATGCAGTGCCTCGCACATTGCTTGCCTCCTCCACCAGGAAGCTCGCAGCCCGACCCAGCTCCTCTAGCTGCCTCGAGGGAACAACTTCCGGACGTGCAGACAGAGCTTGGCTGAGCTTGGAGAGCTCGTGTATGAGCTGTTGTCGGCCGTGCAGCAAAGGGCGAACTTGCGATCTGATTCATTCAGCAGTGCTCTGTTCACCATCCTGCCGTACCGTCGCAGCTCTGTGATTGGCTGGCGGAGTCCGGGCAGCGCTTGAGGGCGGATAGACTGCTCTCAAACGGCCGCACCACCACCCACTTGCCTGCCGATGCCTCCGTATCGCCTCCAACCGCACTGCAGCCACCAGAATTGCCTTTAGACTCCTGGTAGACCTGGCTAAGCCCGAGGTAGTTGTCAAGGGACTCAACGGTGAAAGCATGCTGGCAGGGCAGCACGAGCAGAGGGCTCTCCTCCAGCGTCTCCCATATGATGAGATCCACTCTCATCTCCCTCTTCTTCTTCGACCCACACCCTTCCACCATGCAAAACGCCTGGGAAGGGCACTTCTTGGCACAGAACGACGGGCATTGGTGGCTGCACAAGAGGCGTTTCTCACACCGCTATTCGCACGACTGGCGGTCGCGGGGGGCACCGCAGGGGAGGGAGCACCGCCCCTGGTGCCTGCAGGTCCACCCGCAAGGCTCGGCGCACGCAGAGCAGGTCCGGTTGCAGGGTTGGGGGCAGGAGCTGTGTTGGCACACCACGAGGCATCGTTTGGTATAGGGCTTGCAGGGATTGTCGAGGTGGCAGGGGTCGGGGCAGAGGTGGCCGCAGGGGAGGTCGCGTTTGCATGGCTGCGTGCATTCCTTGTGCTTTCTCTCCAACTACTGCTGAACCTGCTGAAAGCCTATGCTGAGGTCAGTGTTAGCAGCTGGAGCAACGATGCAGAACAAGGTTGAAGCGCACGCCACCCGCCTTCGACTTACACGAGCATGCAGACCTTTCACGTTTACGCCTCCCTCGGGCAAAAAACAATTTTGCACGCCACCGAGCCACACGCCGTGATTTCCGCGACCATAGTAGAAAGTGCACTGCTAGCGCTCGTCATCATCGCACACAGACAGACAGAATTTACGCGGAATCGCCGTGACCTGCCAGTACTACCTACGACTATAGCAGCTCCCTCGCCGCGCTTACGCTGCGAATGTTTATGGCCGCACGCTTGCCTGCACGACGCGGCAAAGAACTCGCAAGAGTGACTCGCCCTCGTGCTTCCCCACCCCGTCGCACTAGGCCCCCGCGACCAAAGGTCGCCCCCCCTGCCATGGCTAGCCGCAATCGCCCAGCGGCGCCCCCGGTCACGTTTGCGGAGATGGCAGCACGGGAACAGGACAGGGAGGTGCAGGACTGTGCTTGTAATGGGCTTACAATGCAAGAAGTTGCTTGTACCGGGCTGACGGTGCAAGAAGGTGCTTGTAACGGGCTGACAGCGACGAAAGGCAACGCTACTGCGTGCAGGGCAACAGTGGAGAGTACCGCGTATAGAGCATTGGAGGCGGAGGAGGTGCGCTGGCAAGGCCACTGCGATTTCATTGAGGATAGACCCGTGTGCAGCACTGTGCAAGTGAGTCGTAAGTGTGTGTGTGTGTGTGTGTGTCTGCCATGCTGTGCTATGCCGTACCGTACCAAAGCGTACCTTGCCTTGCCGTGCCGTGCTATGTCATGCATGCAGTTGGCAAAACCGTGGCATCTGGACTGCATGGCAAGTGGGTTGTGAAGTTTTGAAGGGTTGCTTGGAAGCAGGCAAAGGGTGAATGCGGCTACAGCATACAGCTAAGCTAGTCTGGTCGCATGCTGTTACCAGTAGTTAACACACCAGATACACTCATCCTCCTGCACCTCCTCTCTCGCAATTCCGCTGCACCATATTTCCGCTACACCATATTTCGCCCGCTAACCCACTCTGCCTGTTCCCTGCATGCGTGGCCCCACTGATTGCCCCTGCACCCTATCAGTTGGGCTATATGCATCCTCTGCTGCCCGCCCACGCCCCCAAGCATGGCGAACTGCTCGAAGACATTCCCTCACGTGACGCCCCCTCCCTCTCGCCCCTGCCCGTGCGCCCTCCCTCTCGCCCCTGCCCGTGCGCTCTCCCTCTCCCCCCCGCCTGTGCGCCCTCCCTCTTGCCCCCGCCCGTGCGCCCTCCCTCTTGCCCCCGCCCTTGCGTTCCTCCATTTTCCTTGAAGGCACCTTGTTGATCCTTTTCCCTCTCTGACCCTACCATCCGAAAGTTTCTCCCACATGTAATCCCCGCCCATCAACCCACTGCTGCAGCTGCTCCTTCTTCCCCAAAACACTCCTCTCATCCCACCCTCCTCTCTTTCCACCCTTCCTCTCCTCTCCGCCCTCCCTCTCTACCCCTTCCCCTCCATCCCTCTATCTTCCTGTGCACCACACAGACATATCCAGCGCCATCCTGCCAGGTCTAATGCACTGGTCGAACCCTCGTTTCTTCAGCGTCTTCTCCTCGCCCACCAGCGCTGCCGCCATCTGTACTGACGCCCTCATCAGCGCCCTCAACGTCGTCGGCTTCTCGTGGGCCGCCGCCCCTACAGGCTGCAGCGACTGAGCTGTTGTGATGGTGGAGTTGCTGAGGCTATGTGATGAGTTCCACTCGGTTAAGTCAGGTGGGATGAAATGGAGGGGGAATTGAGGTGGGGGGAGTGAGATGAGAGGTGGTGAAGGGAGAGGGAGGGAAGGGAGGTGGAGTGAGGTTAGGGAGGTAATGAGATCATGAGCTATGTTCAGCCGTTTGCTGTCAGATTCATTAGGCCATGTTAGCATCCGCAGACCAGAGCACTCAGATTTGCCCATCCTTTCCTCCACAATCTGTGGCGTGCTTGTCACCGTGTCACTGTGTCACTTAGTCACGGTGTGACGGTGTCACCGTGTCACCTTGTCACTATGTCACTGTGTCACCGTGTCACTGTATCACTGTGTCACTATGACTGCTGTGGCCAGCGAGCACGGACGGGGGCTTATTCACGGCACGGCCAGTGAGGCGCTGCTCATGACACTGATGGCCGCCAAGCGGAGAGTGCTGGACCGCGTGGTGGGGCAGGGCGGCAGCGTGGCTGCAGCGACAGCAGCAGGTAGAGGAGTACAAGAGCACAGACAATGGAGTGGGTGCTTAGGAGGAGAGACGCATAACGAAGGGCCGGCTCATAGTGCACCTAAACGAGGTGGAGAGCATGCAAATATGGAGGATAGGTTCAGCACGGAATGGCACGGAGGGCTGCTTTAGGAGCACAAGGGCGACACAGGAGGAGGAGCGGCCGGCAGTGGAGAGTGGCAAATGAAGTACCACTGGCGCGCTGCTGGTGTGGGTGTGCGAGGCCAGGCTGCTCCCACGTTCCCATAGGGCAGTGTAGAGGATATAGCAATGCAGCGCTAGGTGCCACGTGGCTGGCATGCCCAAGGGCAACGTGTGCGTGCTGCCCACCACCGCTGCACTGGCGTATGCCCTGAGTGCTCTCCAATTGTTGGATGCGGTGCAGAGGGATGAGGCAACCGGCCTCATTCCCTTCTTCCTCGTCCCCACAGTAAGTGTGTGCGAGGTGCCTTCTTCTCTTCTTCTTCAAATTCCTATACGGGGAAGGTGCTTTGTTCTCCTCTCCCTCACTCTCACTGTACGTGGAAGGTACCTTATTTCGTTCCTCTCACATGTCATGATAAGCCACTTCGCACATGGGGCGGTGCTTGGCCGCATTTGTACCTCTGGTACGTTTCCCGATCGACCGGTGCTCGTCCTCATGTCCGCCCCTGTATCGCCGCCAGTTACTCGGTTTCCCACTGCCACCACTGCTTGCCACCGCTGTATGCCACCACTGGTGCCTTTTGTATCATCTGCCTCATACCATGACCATGCACTGCCCATGACCATGTACTGCCCATGACCATGCACTGCCCATGCCCCTGCCCATGCCCCTGTTTGGCTCCTGCCCTGCCCCTGTGTGCCCCTGCCGATTCTAATGCCCATGCCCATGTCCATGCCCATGCCCATGCCCGTCCCCATGCCCATGCCACACCACGACAGCCGACCTCTGGTGAAAGCACTGCCAATACTGTCAGAATATCTGCGGAATAAGGTGGGCTACTATTCTCTTATTGCAGCAGTGATCTCGGCAGTGTGCTCTTAGTGCACTGTTATCGTATCTTATTTGTGAAAATAATAGTTTGAAGAGAAACTGATGGATTGATTAGGAATATTAGTTTGTATGCATAGCTGGAGCTAGGAAGGAGGAGGGTGGTTGGGTACCTAGCCACCAATAAGTTGGGTTGGGGAATTATTATGGGGATCCAATAATGTTGGCCAAGTTGAGTTGGACCAACATTGTTGGTGGGGGACCAATAATCTCCCAACCCAACCTTTGGAGGCTAATAATTGGCCCCTGGTTGGGTTCCAACACCCAACTAGGGTTCACCCTAGTTTTACACCCAAACTAAGGTTGGGTGTCTATCTCTAACCAAACATTATAGGAACGATGCAGTTAATAAAACAAGATAATATAATAGCAGCATGCTCTTATTCAGCGTGCTCTTATTTGGCGTGCTCTTATTCAGCCCGCACTTATGCTGCATGCTCATGTGCATTCATGCACACACGCACGCATTCACGCACACACACAAACACATACACACACACACATACACACACACACATACGCACACACACACACACACACACATACACACAAGCACACACACTCCCTTCCCTTCTATTTTCTCTTCGCCCCCTCCCCCCCAACCCATCATGACAAGCAAGCAACAGAGCGGTATGACGTGGGGACTACAAGAACTCAAGATCCCCATCCGCCGCTGGTAATGAGCTGTTTTACAAATAAGAATCCACTCCCTTCCCCCTCCTCTCCTCTCCCCACTCCCTCTCAACCTTTCGCTAATCAAACAATAGAGCGGCAATACGTGGTGGACAACAGGGACTGGGAGATCCTCATCGCATGCAGCTGATGATTTTTTAGTCCAACAAAACATCACTTTTTGTCCCCCTCATCTTCTCTCCTCTCCCCCCCCCCCCCCCCCCCCCCACCCCCTTTCCCACTCCCACAAAGCAGGCAATAGAGCGCGATCACATGGTGGATTACAAGGACTAGGAGATCCCAATCGGCCGCCGCTTTAGGTGTATTAAGGACAAAGTCTCTCCCTGCCACTGCCTGGCATGGTGCATGGCATGCAGTGGGTTTGTTTCATTCCATCTTCACATAAACTCATGGAGTTTCCAATTCAATGTGGATAAGAATCTATGAAATTTAGGCCTACTCGTACTCCAGCCAATTTGCACACCAGCACGCCCATGCTCATACTTATGCCCATGCCTTGCCAACGCCACAACCGCCACCCACGACTCCCCCCCTTCTTTTGAAGGTCGCTGAAGCTGTAGATGGTACTGTGGACATATGGGGCGGAGGGCATTTGTGCATACATCAGGTGCCACGTGGCACTTGCTGAGAGGTTCGAGGAGGCC